CATCATCAACATACCAGAAACGGTGTTTTCAAAGGACTCAGGATTACGCGGGCGCAGCAGTTATCGGAGGTTGGGGTGAGTCCGACGTGAAACGGAGACCCTCCATTCTGGGAAATCGATTTCGGTTTCGGGTTCGTGTCGTGCGTGCCGTGCGTGCGTGCGGGCGAGGCGAAGCTGCGTGGGCGGCCGAGAGGAAATCCTCCTGTGGCTGGGCCGCGGCCGGACCAAATGTTTCTCCTCCGGCGGCTGGTGGCCCGCGGTGTTCCGCCTGTGTCCAGCTGGTGTCCCGAAATCCTCCTGTGGCTGGGCCGCGGCCGGACCAAATGATTCTCCTCCAGCGGCCGGTGGCGCGCGGTGTCCCGCCGGTGTCCCGCTGGTGTCCCGAAATTCTTCTGTCGCTGGGCCGCGGCCGGACCAAATGATGCTCCTACCGTCAAACGGTGGCCCGCGGTATCCCGCCTGTGTCCCGCCGGTGTCCCGAAATCCTCCTGTGGTTGGGCCGTGGCCGGACCAAATGTTTCTCCTCCGGCGGCCGGTGGCGCGCGGTGTCCCGCCGGTGTCCCGCTGGTGTCCCGAAATCCTTCTGTCGCTGGGCCGCGGCCGGACCAAATGATGCTCCTACCGTCAAACGGTGGCCCGCGGTATCCCGCCTGTGTCCCGCCAGTGTCCCGGCATGGGTTGTGCATTTCAAGGCATCGCCGCTTGCGGCGAGCTATCCAATGCAAGTCTGCATGCAAACCGGCATGCAGACCGAAAAGCACATCGAAGTGCAAATCGATTTGCACATCCAAATGCACATCGTAAGGCGCCGTGGGCGCCGCGGCGAGCTTTCCAATGTACGTCGACGTGCAAATCGAAAAGCGCATCGAAGTGCACATCGATATGCAAATCCAAATGCAAATCGAAAGGCACATCGTCATGCCGTGCTGTATGCTGTGCCGCCGTTGTCGCTGTCGGACCGCAGCCAGTTGCCCAATCAAAACCGGCATACCAATCGCGGTTCCGCCTGTGAGCCCGTCCGAATTTTCTGGGGCGGTACCTTCCGCGGTACCGCCCCACCAGAGCCCGTCGAACGATGCCTGTGGGGCGGTACCTTTCCGCGGTGCCGCCCCACAGGCATCGTCAGAACAACAATCACCATTTTTGCCCATTGCTGCCCCCCCCAACCTCCTTATCACCCGCAGGGTGGTCGTATAGGTATCGATTCGCTGTGTTGAGGTCCCAGGAATGGCGTTCAGGCGTGATTCATGATCGTCAGCACGCAACAGTCAGGTTGATCAATGGCGTTGGAATCCCGAGAACAATGCTTTGGCATGCTTCAGGGTCTTCAATCGGTTGTTTTCCAACGAGGCAGTTCCCCCAATGGAAATGAAGCGTTGTAGGGGCCTGCGAAGAGGGAGCATGGAGGGAGGTTTTTTTCCAACGTCGTTGATGGCTCTTCGGTTTACACTGGTCCTCCTCCCCGTCCTCCTCCTCCTGCTCCTGCTCCTCCTCCTCCTCCTCCTCCTCGCCGTCCTCCTCCCCGTCCTCCTCTCCTCCTCCTCCTCCTCCTCCTCCTCCTCCTCCTCCTCCTCCTCCTCCCCTCCTCCCGCCTCCTCCTCCTCCTCCTCCTCCTCCGCCTCCTCCCCCTCCTCCTCCCCGTCCTCCTCCTCCTCCTCCTCCTCCTCCTCCTCCTCCTCCTTCCTCCTCCTCCTCCTCCTCCTCCTCCTCCTCCTCTCTCCTCCTCCTCCTCCCTCCTCCCTCCTCCTCCTCCTCCTCCTCCCCTCCTCCTCCTCCTCCTCCTCCGCCTCCTCCTCCTCCTCCTCCTCCTCCTCCTCCTCCTCCTCCTCCTCCTCCCCGTCCTGCTCCTCCTCCTGGCGCCGCGCTCGGCCGCCCCACTCGATAAAGCTCCGACGCAGCAGGCGAGGCCGCGCCGCCCACCCCCCCTTCCGCCGGCCGAGAGGCGTCGAGGCAGAGGCTCGGCTCCTCGACGCCTTCTTGCGCCCGCGAGCCCGCCCCTGCCGGCGGCGGGTTCGCGCCGCGTCGGCGCGACGTTTACCTCCTCCCTTTCCTCCTCCTCCTCCTCCTCCTCCTCCTCCTCCACCTCCTCCCTTTCCTCCTCCTCCTCCTCCTCCTCCTCCTCCTCCTCCTCCTCGGGTCGCCTACGGCCCCGGGGGAAAACCGTGCAGCTCAGGGGGGTCGGGGGAGGGACCCCTGCTTCTCAGGAGGCGCGGGCCTTGTCTGGCGCCTTCTAAGAAGCAGCCTCCACAGCGGAGGCCAGTCCGCAAGAAACCTTCCAGAAGAAACCCGACCCTGAGACCCCAGGTCGTTCATGGAGTTTTGGCGTGGGAACGTCACGCTTCCCGTGGCGAAAACATCAAGGTCCAGGAAACCCAGGGCACCCTGGAGGCAAGCAGGATGTTTCTTGGCATAGGCCCCCACTGTAGTCCTCATAGATGGGGTCGGAGGATCGCGCCGCATCGCCGACGCATCGGCGACGCATCGGCGACGCGGCCCAATGCGGGGCCCAATTTTCTCCACGCCGACGTCGACGATGCATCGCTAACGTCGCCAGCGCATGGCCGATGCATCGCCGATGCATCGGTGATGAATCGGGGCTGCGGCAAGATCCTCCGACCCCATCTAGTCGGACCCCATCTAGGAGGCCTCTACTGTCACGGGCGTTCAAGACTGAACGCTTTTGAGGGCCCGACTTCGGTCAGCATCGAGCAACCTGTGGTGTCGGAGAGCCGCGATTGCCCAGGGTTGGGCAAACCAGGGGCGAGAGAAGGACGTGCACGTACCCGAATCCACGTTCGTTTCGAGAGTACGCATTGCGCGAAAGCTCGTATCACGCGGCTGGCCTCGCGGATTGGGGGACCGTGTTCGCGTACGTGGTTGGACGCGTACGTTTTTTGTGGGTTCCTGAACCATCCACGCGGTGTCAGTAGGAACCAGCCATATTTTCACATTCCTGGTGAAAGAACAAATGTTTGCGAATCACGTTTCTCGGCGGCGAGCGAAGGGGGACAGTGAGGAGGAGAAGGCCTCCCCGGAAGGCGGCGGGATCCTCGGAGGCCTTTGAGCCTCCTGACCAGTCTTCTATGTCTTCGGGGCAGTGGCTCAGAGAACCCCCCGGGAGGCCCGAGACCTCCCCTTGGCATCGCTCGGACGTGTGCAGTTTTTTTCGGCGAGGACCACCGAGGACCATCGTGGACCATCGGGCAAAGCAAAAACACACACGAAACCGAAACATGCACGGGAAATGGACGTCCGAGCGACGGCAAGTTCAGAGCCTTCTGCCGAGACGGCCCGCCCCTCCCCACCTCCCCCTCCCCCCGCGGCTCGCGGCTCGCCGCCGAACGGTGGGTCGTGCGTGCAGCCTCGGACGCCCGCTCACGAGCGCCGCGCGCGTCCGCACCCGCGCCCCCGCGGTCTGGACTCTGGGGCGCGATGCCGCGGGGGCGCGGTCGCGTGGATTCGCTCCGAGCGGGGACCCGGGATCTGGTGTTGCCAGAAGAGCCCCTGGCCTTAGGTCGGGCATGTCCCCCTTACTTATGAAGCGCATTTTGGACGAACATTGCAAGATATTCCAAACATTTTCCAAACTACAGAAAACATGCTAAAACAAATCGTCCCCAGATATAATTTTGACTATTTTTGAATCTTCCCCCTGTAGAGGGACACGCCCGACTTAATGCTGGCCCAAAGTGTCCCCAGGATTTCCAAGGAGGCCCCCGCGGCCTCCAGAGCACCCCTCACGAGGCTCAGAGGGCCCAGGGCCCTGGAGGCTCCAAGATCGAGCGAGGGCACCTTCAGCAACTCCCGACGAAACAGGCCCGCCCCCTCTCACTTCCCCCCCCCCTCCGCTTGCGTGTCCGCCCTGGTCTCTCCGGGCCTCCCCGGCTCGGCCCGGCCGGGGAGCTGCCGGGAGAGGCATCGGGTGCCGCGGGAGAGCCCTGGCCGACCTGCTTCCTGCGAGGCTCGTCGTCGTTTGACGCCGTCGGATCTCCAGAGTCAGTCGGTAGTTATCGTTGAATCTCCATCCCTATCCAGACCCCGACCATGTCAGCACCCCAGTTGGGCATATGCCCCTCGAAACCCGAAGGAAGCAGCCTATATCCCCATCTGCGGGGCTGAATCGGCCAGTTGGGCCCAGGCCACGCCCATGGGGATGGGGGTCGGTTCAGCGATGCTCAGTCAGGCAGCCCCCCGATGCGAGAAAGTTGCTCCATGGCGCTCTGGAGCGCTCGCGGAGCGGTCCTGGGCGCAGGAGGGGCGAGGAGGAGGGGAGGGGAGGCGAGGAGGAGGAGGAGGAGGGGGAGGTTGTCTCCTCCTCCTCCTCCTCCTACCCCTTCCTCCGTCCCTCCCTCCTCCTGGCCACGTGGATCTTGTGGCGGCCAGGTAGTTCATTTGCAACTCCTCCCGATCCTCCCTCCTCGAAAGGCCCTCGGCCCCTCGGAGCTGTCCCTAGCCCAAGAAATTGGGCTAGGGAGAGCTCGCTGGGGGGCGCTCTCCCGACCCGCTGGCCCCCGGAGCTCGCTTAGGGGCAGCGAACAAGATCTGTGTTTTCGGGGGCGACGGGAAGTCTAGGCCTCCTAGATGAGGGGTCGGAGTAGATGGGGTCGGAGGATCGCGCCGCATAGCCGATGCATCGACGATGCGGCTCGATGTGGAGCTCGTGTTTCCCCATGCCGACGTCGCCAGTGCATCGCCGACGTTGCTGGTGCATCGCCGATGCATCGCCGATACATCGCCGATGCATTGGCGATGCGGCGCGATCCTCCGACCCCATCTACTCTGACCCTATCTAGGAGGCCTCCCATGCTCGCAGGTTCAGAGCAGATCCGAACTTCTTGCGAATGGGGCTCGCAAGGGTTGCTTTTTTCACGGATCCGGCGCGCCGGCGGAGCGTGTGTTGGGATCTGGCCTCGGACGCAGCGCTGCCCCCCGAGCGACCTCGGAGCTGGCCCCCCTCGCGCACCGTGGCCCGCCGACCGCCCCCTCCCACCCCCCGAGAGGCGCTGCTGCGGGGCACCGGCGCGGAGGCGCGCGAGTGCACCGGGAAAGGCCCCGCCCGCCCGCCGCGCGCCGCGCCCGGCGCGGGCCCGCGGGTCGGAGCCCCGAGTTACTGTTGGCGCTGGAACGACAGCGCGCGATTCGGCGGCGGCATCCGTGCACTGCCCACGCCGATCCACGATTCAGGCAAGTCGATGGGCGGCGGGGGTTAGGGTTCGGAGTTCGTCGAGCGCGCGGCAAAATCCAGACCCTACCCCGCTCCTCCCATCGATTCAGGAGACTCGGTTGGCGCTGGAAAGATTTCAGGACCCACACACACATACACATCACCACCGCGGGCTGGTTTTCTGTCATGGGGGTTGATCCATTTATTGTTTCGGCGGTGGGTTGCAGAGTGCATCAAATTGCGCGATAATGGCACGTCTCGTGTGCAGCGTCATTTGGGCGCGCGGTTGCATACACAGGAAAACAACACATTCACGTGATGTATTGTTGTATATTTCGGGGTGGTGTATCACATTCCCGGGTGGGCCCATAGTTTTTATGCTCCGCCACCGTGCTGATGTAGGGTGCTTGAGAGCGAGAGCAAATTATGCACGAACGACTGCGGCCACCATCTGCGCGCATGACCACGTGGCAAGCACTTGCGCTTGGCGGGGGCAGGCAGTGACACCCCTGCCGGGGCGGTTGCGCGCAGGATGTTGTCCTTTCCAATGGCCGCCTGGTGGTGTTGTATATGTTATAGGGCCCCGCAAAGATACCGTGCGATCTCGATGAGGGCCAATCACTGGTTCTGGTGAGCAGAAAGGAAGGGCGGGCAGCTTCGAAGCTATGGGTTTGACCATATGGACCCCGGGGGGGGGGTCCAGGGAGGGAATCTGTACGGATTTGGCTTCGTCGCCGCTTTTGACAGATTTTCTCGGGCCCGACCAGCTCAGACGTGCGATGTGGCGCCGCGGGCTCATTATTACACGCTACCCCCCACATTGGGGGATAGCTTGATCCCCCTGGCAGGGGGATCAAGCTGGCCCCCAATGGCAGGGGGATCAAGCCTATCCCGCGGGCGCACGCTGTCCCCCTGGCAGGGGGACAGCGTGCGCAGAAGGGGCCCTCGCGGGATGACCGCCCCACAGGGATGGCCCATTGTTCGGGGATCGATGCTGCACGTTTTCTTCCAACGCCAACCGTATCAGTGCATGGGTGTGTCGGGGATGACTCCTGCTTGGGGCCTGCCGCTTTCCCAGCCGAGCTGCCCCTGATAGCAGTACATATCACATCTTGCCCCATGTAGATGCTGTCCAGTACTGTCCTGAAGCAGGGGTCATCCCAAATCAACTGGTTCCAGGGTTTTCCCATATAGCATTTGGGGACGCCGAGCAGGGCGTAACCGGGACGAGGTCTATCCCAGACGCGAGGCTTCGGGTTTCGAAGTTTTCGGGCGGTCTCGTCGGCTCGTTCGCCGGGTTTCCAACCTCGGCGTGCTTTCCAGGTTTTGTGCCTCGCCGGGAGCGTTCTGGGGTGCCCAGATCATGCCGATCGTCCGCCGGAGACCCGAGTCATGACCCGAAAGCCAGACGACGAGAATCACCAAGGTTGTCAGCGGTTCGGTCTGCGCTGCGTCGCCGTCGGTTGCGTTCGGTCGGGTCTTGTTCGGTCGGGTGTTGCGTCGTTGCTGCATCGCTGCGCCCTTCTGGGCAGTTTGCGGCCTGTCGGTTTCGGTCGGTTTTGGTTTTGGTCTCGATGTTGGCTCGGTCGGGTTTCGTTTTGTGTTGTCTCAGTGGACGGCCACGGCGAGGGGGGCGTCTTGATTGGAAGGCGGGGGCGTTTTTAGAGGGCATGGGGGTTCTGAGAACCAGGGCTCGAGCTGAGCGGTGTTTTCGCGACTTCGTGGGCCGTTTGCGTTGCGAACTCGCTTCGCAGCAAGGAGGGGGGCGAAGACAGGACGAAGGAAAACGAAAACACATTAAGGCGAACCACACTGTTCAGCTCGAGCCCTGCCGAAAAAGGCCCTCATCGATCGCCCCCCCAACCAAGCATGCGCGACACCGGACAACAGTGCACGGGGAATGGACGCCCGAGCGATGGCGAGGCCGCCTCGGCGAGATGGTCTGCCCGCGGGCCCTTCCGAAGAGGCCCGTCCGTGCCTTGCGGCGAGGGGCCGCGCCTGCTGGGGGGGGCCGCCCCCCTCGCGCCGCCGCTCGCGCCCCCCCCGCCCCCACCCGTGCTCGCCGCGGCCCGTAAGAGTGCGGTCGGGCCGAGCTAGAGTCCACCCGCAGAGTGAGGATGGGCACCCTTCCCAAGGGCGGAGAGGACGGACTAGGAGGAGGAGGAGGAGGAGGAGGAGGAGGAGGAGGAGGAGGAGGACGGAGGAGGAGGAGGAGGAGGAGGAATCTCGGCGGATTTGCTCAAGCATCCTCCATTCTGTTATCTTCCCAGTTTACGAACGTGCTGCAGGGGCATACAGTCAACCTGCATAGTAAGGATGGGCATCCTTCCCAAGGG